CCATTCACGAACCACCACAAACCATCATAAACAGCTTGAAAGTCTGTGGAAAGTCCATGCTGGTTGACCTGCCATGAACTTCACTTTGCGAACCACGAACTGGCCAAAATTTGTTAGAAGCTTTAGTTTGTAAACTGGTTCATGCCCATCCCTATAAAATATTCATACCAAAGAAAGCAGGTGCAAATTCCTCCTGCTTTTTATAGCTTCATTTTAATGTCCAAAGTCCTTAAACTTAATCTTCACTATTCTTACACGAAAATAAATCCTATTTTTAGTAAACAATACTTGACAGGGAAGCTCCATTACACCATTTGGCCAGAGGGTTTTAACCTTTAATCCACTACCTCATATATACAGTATTATTACTGAATGCGGCCCCAATTTATTTAGTAATTAAAGTAGTTATACTTCACTGTGAGATGCCAGATGCCAACCCTGTATTAGTACTTTCACACATTCCCCACTACTCCAGGAATAATGTTCTGAGAGAGATGCTTAATTTATCTTATCCCCCATGCTCTTTAACATCTATATGAAGCCACTGGGTGTGGTAATCTGGAGATCTGGGCAGGGTTTTTACCAATAATTAGATGACACTCATCTATATTTCATGGTTCCAGCTGATTCCAGGGAGGCTGTTTTAGGATGCTTCAGTGAAGCTTAATCCTGACAAGACAGAAGTCCTGCTGGTGGCTGGAAAAACTGACCTAGAATTTGAGGCATCTCCTGCTCTGTATAGGGTAGCCTCCTCTTGAAGGAGTGGGTCTGTAGCTTGGGGGTGCTGCTGGAACTGAGTCCACTGCTAGGTAAGCAAGTTGTGGTGGTGGTTTTGATTTTCAAAGCCTTCTACAGCTTCGGACCAGCATGCCTGAAGGACTGCCTACTCTCAGAGGCAAAGTGTATCACTACTAAGGACAGGAACTGTTCTGCTGTAATACTTTGCTTACTTTCCTTCTAACTATTTGCTTGATTATCTCTCCTTATATATGAAAGAGTTTTGGTGTGATTCCTGGACACGCTTCCAGAGCCTTTTGCCCGCTCAGCTGCCCGTCTTGCGGACTCCCAATCCCCTGGCTGCATTGCCTTGCTGCGTTGGCTTGGCCCCGCCCACTGAGCTGGCAGCCAGCATTTCGCTCTCAGTCTGGAGGGAGCCGGCGAAGGGGATGGATGCAGGGCCGGCTCCAGCTTATTTTGCACCCTAGGCGAGGATCCTTTCTGCCCCCCCCCCCGTGCGCCCACCAATTTTCAAAAATAAATGCATTTTAGGAAGAATGAAAAACACAAATAATCAAGAAACTCCCAGAGTACGGGGCCGGGTGCAGTTTGGTGCCCCTAAGGGCCGTCCCACTCTAGGCGATCGCCTAGT